GTGTGCCCACTGCGCATGCTGAGTGCATGAAACAACGGTCCCCGCCCTAGGAAAAAATGAATCTCGTGAGAGGAATCGAGCTTGGAGCCCACAGTTAAAGCACAAAGCAAGATGCGACTAATGCCATGGAGATGTATTTTTTACATAGCAAGTGTTACATGTGGGGGTTGCAGGAGAGGAAGATCAGGGTGGGCGTGATGGGCATGTCCCGTCAGACTCACGAAGGAGGAGGTGGTGGCTGAACTGGACGTCAAAGTCCAGGTGGATTCATTTCAGGAGGATTTGCATGGACAAAATGCAGAGAAGGATTGGGGGCATGGGTAGCATCAGACCGTGGGAAATAGGGTCTTATTGGGATAAAAAGTAATAGGTTAGAAAAGTGGAATTAGAACAAAGGACAATGCTAGTCTGGGCACCCTTGATGGTTTTTGAAACAGGTTGTATTTTGCACCAGAAGTGCTGATCGGGTGGCTCTGTGAGGATGGAGCTGGAAGGTGATGTGGTGGTAAGAAGTCTGGGGCAGAGGCCTGAACACCAGCAGCAGCATGCTTCAGGGACCAGGCGCAAGCTCTGCTGCCACCGCTGGCTGCCGGGGGCTGTGGGCCGGTCGTTTCACATCCCTAGGCCTTGGTTTCCCCATATATAAGACGTGAGCCTCACCTTAGCATCTTTTGAGCTTAAAAAAGAAAATTCTATAACGCGGATGATTCCAAAGCTTACACAATGGTGGCCAGCACTGAAAAAGGCAGCCCAGGCGTGCACCACGAGGGTGGCCTTTATCGAAGCCTGTGGTTGGCTCGGGGTCGGGTTGCTGGTGGCTTCTGTTCTCATTCTGCTTACCTTCATTTTCTGTTCTTTTCTACATGTGCTATTTACGTAACCGAAAAGTTGGAGTTTTTAAAAAAACAAAGCCCTCCCTCCACCACCACATCCCCTCACACATGCATTCGTATATAAAGTGAAAGTATGTAGATGCCAGTTTTTAAAGCACCTACAACCAAATGCCCACTGTGGAGAGACCACAAGTGCTGTTCAAATTACCTGTTAATTTACGTGACACTTCCAGAGGGTGGCTGTGTCTCGGGGTTGCCACACCTGTTCTGGTTCACATTCCCCACATCCTTGAAGGGCAGGGACCCCAGGATATTAAGTTACTGTGGCACTTTTTGTTTTTGCTTTTATTGTTTGAAACATGTTATTTTACTACTGAGGCCTCGCCTCCCCACGGCTCGTAGGTAAAAAGCATCTTTTCCACAAACCACAAGAAGAGAGACTCCTAAAATGTGGTTGGGGAAATTACATCAGTTTAATATAATAAGCGATGTTTCATAAAAATATTAATAGAAAAACACAGAACAGATCAAATTGAGATGAGCACAACAGGAGAAACAGAGTCTGCTGGAGCAGTGTGTGCTGAAAGGATGAAACATTTATCCCAAGATTCATACAATAAAGTATGTCTTTAGATGACTTAACTCTCAGTGGAAAAATATCACATCAGCAGCTACCACCCAATCTTGCTTATGAGAGGCTCAGTTTATATTTCTCCCCACACATTCAGAATTCAAGTGAACTTGCAATATGGTTTCACTTCCCATAGTTAAGATAAACGTAAAATTTTAAGCACCTGCAATTTACAGGGATTAAGATAATATCCAATGACCCTCTGCAGACAACATTTGAGATTGGATTAAACCGACCACAGTTCAGCATTTTAGAATCTATCCACTTTTATTGAAAGAAGCCCATTTGTTCATGATGGATTTTATAAAAAGAGAATTTTCCAAAGAAAAGCTGGGACCCAAAGTCATTTTGCCAGGGTCCATTTTACATCTGTTTGTAGGACTGTACATGAGCCGACCTTGAGAAGAGTAACCACAGAGACATACCGAAACTGTGCACTTCTGCCAGAACTACGCTAACTTCCCAAACCCCCCCCCCACCACCACGCACACACAGCAGATTTTAGGCTAGACGAGTGTATTAGTCGGTTTGTGTTGCTATAACAGAATACCAGAGACTGGGTAATTTAAAAAGGAAAGACGTTTATTTGGCTCATGATTCTGGGACAGCTGCATCTGGCACAGACCTCAGGCTGCTTCTACTCATGGTGGAAAGTGGCAGCAGCCGGCAGGTACAAGCAGATCACATGGGAGAGGAAGTGAGACAGAGAGAGAGGAGGTGCCAGGGTCTTTTAAACAACCAGCTCTTTCGGGAATTAATAGAGGGAGATCTCACTCAGGACCCCCACCCCACAGGGAGGAGCATTAATCCATTCATGAGGGATCCGACCCCACGACTCAATCAGTTTCCAGCACTGTCACATTGGAGATCAAATTTCCACATGAGTTTTGGAGGGGACAACACATCCAAACTCCATCAACGAGCCAGCCAGTATTCTCAGAAAACTCAAATATATCATGCAAAAAGTGTTTTCCTCATTAGGATGGCTTTGATATGAAAGTATGTACCTTATATTCTGCAACAATTGTCTCAGAAGGAGCAGTTCGCAGTTACATTTTCTAGGTTGAGCCATTTGAACTTTGCTGATTTCATGACTCAGGAGATCTCCGTGGGGTGCCTCCTGCGCACCCAAAGAAGCGGGAGGGCTGCATGGGTGTCAGCTGGCAGGGGAGAGTGAACGGGCTCATGTCCTGGGCTTAGAGCGGCCATGAGGTCCTGTTACCAGCACGGTGTGCTCCTGAGGCTCGAGGCATCCTGGAAACAGTGTTCCCCACACGGGGCTGGTGGTCATCAGTGTGCTTCCCCATCATCGGCACCACGGACGTCTGCCATTCCCTAAGTGGCTTGAGCAGGGCTGGGGGGAGGATAGTTATACCCCGAGCCCTCCCACAGGCTGCCTCATTGTCCCCCCCTCCGGGACCCAGTGGCTCCTCCCTGACACGGTGCACACCCAGATGCGGGTCTCACGCGCTGGTCGGCACACAGCTTCCACACCCACGGCACAGAAGCCTGCCGCGGTCGGAGCAGCAAGCAGAGCCAGTGTTTATTGAGAGGATTCACATCATCTTTGGTCAAAATTCATGAGACGGCCCGATGGTCTGACTCGAGATCCTTCCTTTAGCCTGGGCGCCCCGTGTTGGGCAGGGCAGCCGCACCCCAGTCCTTTCTTGGTCTTTCTTTCTCTGTCACCAGGAGTGGGGCCAGTGCAGGGTAGGACCACGAGCAGGACCATCCTGGCTCCTTTGACCAGTTGGGGGTGTTGGTGAGTGACAGGTGGGGCTGACGGAGGAGGGGTGAAGAGTGAGGGGGCGTGAGCGCCTGGCTAGACGTCGGGCACCCTGCTGCCTTGCAGTAAGGGACCGTGTGTGCACATGTGTGTATTTCATTTTCTCGTGGGCACACACTTGAAAACCTGTGTCTGCGTATGACACATGGCACATGGGAAACCCACAAGCAAAATGTCAGAGGACAAGACCATTATTTTCTTTGTGTACAGCAACGCATCCAGGTTTGGCCCCTCGAAGTGCTTTTCCTTAACATTGCGGCCTTTTCTCTGCAGAACAGGTCGGTAAGACGTGAACGGGCTGTGCTGGCCGCGAGGCTGTCTTTGTGGAAGGGAATGTTCAGGAGGGCTTTGCTTCTAGTGGTCACTGCTCACGGACACGTGCCCAGAGAAATTAGAGTCACAGCAGCCAAGGGTCCAGATATTTGCTTTTGTTCGTTTTTAGCTTGTGTAACTCTAGAAGATGTTTAATATTTAGCGCAAATCAGTGCAGCCCAGTATCTTAAATTTATCACACCCAGTGGATTCAGAAAAGTATGCCAATTATAAGAAAAACGACTTCTGTGCGGACAGAAACGGGTGTGAGGGACAGCCCGACCAGGAGGCTGGTCTGAGTTGCCATCTCACTGGTGAACTGATTGCCCAGCATCTCTCTGATACGTGTGTTTCCACAAACACACGTATAGTAGTGGTGCACGTATTTCATGAAACCATGCACGTGTTACATGCACTGTGCATTGTTAGCACATGTCTGAGGAAACGATAGCTCTTAATTAAGTAACAGGTGCTCTGTTTGAACAGGGTGACGCCCAGCCCCTTCCTGGCTGTCAGAAAAGCAGAAGCGATGTCTGCCTCTCTTGGTCTGTCCCCACTGGGATGACCAACCCAAGGCTTTTCCCCCATTCTGGAGGATCTCATGGGGGCGCAGCTTCTGTGACTATCTGCCAGACTTTCTCAATTAACCACTTTGACATGATTTTGATTGGATTTATAAAATAGTTTCTAAACAGTGTGTTTTCTATTTTTCAGGTAAACAATTCGAAGGAATTATAGCAACATAGTCTCTGTTAGTAACTAGTCGTTCTCTTAGAAAGAGAAAAGGACAATGCAAAACATTATCTAATGAGGTGCTTTCCCAGGTTGAGGCTTATTAATAGTTTTTGTGTAGCCCCTTTTTTAACCCATCTACAGCTCGCTTCCTCCCCGTGGACCATTGCTCTAGCTCGCACTTATTCCTTCTTGGCTGCGGAGAGCGCCATTCTCGTGTGTTTTCAAGCACCAGATGCACACCCCACAGACCATGCTCACACACCTCCCACGGCTCCCACTGTGTGGGTCCGCATGTCCCTGCCACACATTCAGAGTGTCCCTTCTGGCCCCGGCTCCCACCACCCCGGCCAGACATGCCAGGGTCCATGCCTGCTCCTCTCCACGCCACGGGAACACTCCTCCCCCAAGCGGGGTGCCCACCTCCCTGACTGCTTCCATCCCGTTAACCTGCACTCTGGTTGGACACTGGCCTGAGCCAGCTTTGGGTGAATCAGATGCAGCCCCGTGTGGGTACGTCTCATGGGCTCACGCTAGCTCAAGGGCAGACCGCAGGCTCAGCAGCGTAGGAGGCACAGCACATGCCCTGGAAGGAGCAGGCAGGAGAGGTGGCGCCCCCGCTGCGTGTGCACCTTTGGCCGGCCTGTGCTCCTGCTGGGTCTGCCAGCCCCCGCCTCACTGTCCCTGGTCCTGTCTCACTTTGCAGTCCTACATGGAGGACCACCTCAAGAACAGGAACCGGCTGCAGAGTGAGTGGGAGGCGCTGTGTGCCTACCAGGCGGAGCCCAGCAGCTCGCTCGTGGCCCAGACGGAGGAGAACATGCCCAAGAACCGCTGCCCGGCCGTGCTGACCTGTACGTACCAGCCCGGGGCGTCCTGCACGGGGGTGGCAGTGGTGCGGGCGGGGGGACTGCACCTTCCCGTTGTCCCACCGTTTTTGTGGCTCTGTCCTCATGCCTGGAAGGCCCTTCCCCACGCCCCCTTCTCTACCTTCAGACCTGCACCCCTCCTCGAAGGCCAGTGCAGGCACCACCCCTCTGTGAAGACATCACGGCCTGATCACAGACCCAGTTTCTTCCTCCGACCCAATCGTGTAGTCCTAAAAACGTGGGTCTGGGGACACGAGCCCCGATGATTCTGACTGTGTGATTTGAGACACGGTCCATAACCTCTGGGAGCCTCTTCATCTGTGATTGGGATCGTGCTGTCGTCCTGGAATATCGCTGTAAGGATGACATGAGGTAATGAGCATGGTGCCAGCACATCGTAGGCGGACAGTGAACAGCGGTGGCTATTAGAGCATTTTGAACCTTATAGTTATTTCAGCAAACATTACTGAGGACCTGCTGTCTAGCTGGGTATCACTGCAATAAAACGGAGGTACAAAAGCACGGAGCAGGAGAAGCGGGGTCTCGTGCGACCCGTCGTGTGTGGCATGCTAGGTGGGCTTACGAGGTGCAGAGCCCACGGAGGGCAGAGAGGGGCCCACTGAGTCTGCCGTCTCCTCAGCCGCTGGCCGCCTTCTCTCACCTAACCAACCTGTGCATCCAGCAGGTCCCAGGGAAGGTTCTGGGCTTTGGTTAATACAAAAACCCACCCCACAGGGAGCAGAGGGAGACTTGGTGTCTCTGTGACCGATTTTGGATGTTAATAGACGCTCAGCAAGTGTTGGTTTCACGAGCGGTAAGTGGCTCTGCGTGTCTGTGTGTGCACAGTCACCCGCTCTCGTGGTCACCGTAAGACAGGACGTGCTCGCGCCTGTTTCAAATACAATCACATGAGCTCTGTCAGTTCCCGTTTGAGAGCACAACACAGCGTCATGGTGGCAAGGTCAGCGTTTACTGAAGCAAAGGGTCGCGCCTGTTTCAAATACAATCACATGAGCTCTGTCAGCCTTCCCGTTTGAGAGCACAACACAGCGTCATGGTGGCAAGGTCAGCGTTTACTGAAGCAAAGGCGCTCTGTCACTGCATCCCCACCTCAGCCCCTGGGAGCCGTCCTGGGACCAGCCGGGGCCCCAAGCCTCACCGGGTGTCTGGTCCTAACACCGGCAGCCTCACGCGGCAGCCCCTCAACCGGCCTGGAGGAGGCGGCCACGGTTGCTCTCATAGTAAATGAGTGTGACCAGGGTCTGGAGGTCAAAAACTTAAAAGCTGGAAGTGTTTTGCTTTAGAGCTAACCTGGAGAATCATATGCCTTTGAGGAATCCAAGTCACACTCTCGGGTGTAAACTTTAGTTAGCGTTCAGACCAGGTCCTCCATTTCTATGAGGTCTGAGGGTTTTTTAACCCTAAAGAGCTCTGAAGACAGAAGCTGTTATGTTTTATGAGTTCTATATTTAGAAGAAAAGCAAAATAGGGCTGGCCCGGTGGCACACTCGGTAGAGTGCGGCGCTTGGGAGTGCGGCAGCGCTCCTGCCCAGGGTTCGGATCCCATATAGAGACCGGTTCCCGCTCACTGGTTGAGCGTGGTGCGGGTGCGACACCGAGGGCTGCGATCCCGTTACTGGTCACGAAAAAAGACAAAAAGGAAAAAAAAAAAAGAAGAAAAGCAAAATAAAATACATCCAATCGATCAGCTGCCAATATTTATTAAGCATCTACTGTGTGTCAGGGGCCTGACATCCGCTGGGACACCTGATGAGCCAAGTGTGGGCAGCCACTGTCCTCAGAGGGATGTGGGGTGGGAGAGGGGGCTGAGGGGGAAGGGGTGCGGGGAGGGGAGGCTTCCAACAGCGTCTGGATAATGACTTAGTCTGGAATAGACATTTGGGAGGCACGCACTGAATGTCTCCATGTGTCTAGTGATTTACTTGGATTGTTAGGTCTTCTGTGTCGATATTGAAATTCAAAGCCTGTTCCTCTGAGAACAGCCCCTACGATGGCCCCAGAACACACCAGCAGCCGGGTGATGGTGATTTCCTCCCACGCACCCTGTGGCCCGCGTGGCACGTGGGCTCTGTCTACTAAGTGTTGACAGGTGGAATCAGAGCAAGGAGCTTAGTACAGGCAGCATGTCCCATCCTGAGGTGGGAAACAGGAGCACCCTGCAAGGTGGCCATCAGTGCTGACACGGCAGCTGCGGGATGACCAGGCCCTGGACGTTCTCTGTGACCGGAGCCCTCGGCTCCTCCTGTGCCCGAGCCAGAGTGATGGCCGAGAAGAGGAAACACTCTCTTGGTTTGCTCTGGTGCTGGGAGTTAGGGAGAAGCTGCTGTACTGGCAGATGCCACCTCCCACGGCCTCTTTCCCCAGGGCCCACCGACGTCCCAGCAGCCCACCCGGCGCTCGCCTGCACGGGCTGGGAAGGGGCAGCGCTGCCATGGGAGGTCGGAAGGTCACTCGGGGAAGATGGGGAGGGGCAGGCTCCGTGACAGCCAGGGGACAGCCCGGATGAATGCACCTTCACGGATCACCTGGTGTATTTTGAGCAAATGCGTCACCTACTTAGTTGTTGACGTTGATGGCCTTCTTGACTGTTAGATGGAAGTCATCTTGCCACATTTCAACCCATATCCCTTCCCGAGCAGCACACTAGGGGACGCTTTGCTTACACTCTGGTTGGTCCTGCCGAGCTCCCCTTTCTCCGGTCCTGCTCCACCTCGCCTGGCTGGAGCACTCCCTGTGGGACACAGTGGGCTGGTGATGCAGCCGTCGGGCTGAGGCCTGCTGCCCTGGCGCCTCCCGCTCTCAGGGCCGCGTTGACCGTTACCAGAAGGTGGACCGGAGCTCGGACAGGACCGCACTGTGACCGGGCGCTGCCCCCCGCCCCTCGGCGCCCTGCCTGTTCTGTTGGTGTCTCAGGGTGGGGACGAGCAGCCGGCCTTCACGCTGCGTCCACTTCTCCGGCCACAGGCTTTGCCAGGCGCTCACCAGGCCCTCGTTTCTCCATTTTGGGTGCCTGGCACGCACTCCTCCCGTCCCCTCTCCCCTCTGCGGACCCTCGCTCTCCTGTCCCGTCCCCTGTGGAGCAGCCCCATGCAGTTCTGCTTCCCGCGATGAGACGGGAGCAGGTGTCTCGCTCCCAGGGCACTCCTGCATTGAGTCCACCGAGGGTGCCCCGCGTGCTTCCTGTGGCTCCCACTGGACACAGCCGCAGCCACCACCTTCCCATCTCTGCTCACGTCACTCCTGTCCCCTGCTTCCGGGGACCGGAGCTGTCCCAGCTCAGGCTGAAGACAACTTAGCTGGCAAGTTTCATAGAAAATTCGAAAGTGAGAGAGCTGGTGGCTTTGGATCCCTGACAGCCCGGAGACTCTGGCCACATCCGATTCATCTTTCCAGGGAGAAGGCAGCTAACAACTCGGTGCCTGGCTGGCTCTGTCCAGGTCGACTTACGTTATCTCACAAGCCTGAAGAACTCATTGTAAGCTTTTTATATTTTTAAAAAAGCATTATGCAATATTTTGTTCATCTGCTTTTTAAATTAAGAATAGGAATAGTATGCTGTTTTGCCGTTCTATCTCAAAAAAAAGTAATTCTGGTTCTGTGTTATAATTAACAACAGAGAGAAACAGACAGAAGACATAGAGACAGTAACCGAGAGACAAAACCAGAGCAAATGAAAAGCTGAAGACCAGGCACTAAGACAGAGGGGCAGGTCCATACTGTGGTCGTCTCGTGCTTTGGCCTTTGAGGACATCATTCCCAAGGAGATCGAGGCTCAGTTTCATAACCAGGGGCCTGGCCATGGGCACCCCCCTCCCCCATGCCCTGCAGGCGTGGTCAGATGAGGATGAGAGGCAGGTTTGCTGCGAAGGTGCCACCTGGCGGCTCCGCGGAACGAGCCCCTGACAGCTGCCATCCCTGAGCGAGCTGCGTGCCAGCATCGGCCGAGGCCCACAGGCTCATCTCCGCTGACCCTCAGGAGAACCCCGCACTTGGCAGATGAGGACGTGGGGATGGAGAGCCAGGCCTGGCACGCCCGGGGCTGACGACGCTGCCTCGGACGCTGTTGCGGACTCACCTGAGACTGCGTGTGCCGGGACAACGCACATAAATGTACATAAATTTCAACCTCCCACAGAAATGAGTAACTGAAATACATACCAGGACCGCAGCACTTCGGCTGAGCATAACTTTCCTTAACAAACTCGGAAACAATTTCTTTCCAAAAAATAAGCCTTTTGGTTTTCTCCCCCAAATTCTAAGCAGAGTCCCGTTAGAGGAATATTCCACTCTGGTCATTTCTGAGTGGCCACAAATTTTCCTGATTTGCTTTTAAAGATCAATACATGGGTCAGCCTCCTAAATCCAATGACCAAGCGAGAGCTTTCCTTCTCCTCCTCTTATAAAAAGGCTCTGGGCGCATGTGTCACCTTGACAAGAAAGCCACGTGTGGACATAAGCCACTGACTTGGCTGTCTTCCCTCCACCCTTTCTTCTGATCTCGGAGCCAGCTGAGCCTGCTCCTCTAGGATTTGGGAACGCTGTCAGTTTGTTGGTGTTGAAAAGAAAATATCCCAGCAAATTCTGTGTGGGCTTTTTTCTTTTCTGCATCACAGGCAGACGCTGTTCCGGGCGGCTGTTCAGCCTGAGACTGAAGGATTTTTTTAGGGAGAGCCACACAGGGTCATTCCCATTAGGCTGCTTCTCTGGGAGTAAAAAGAGAGTCTGACCTGTGGTGGCAAACCCCCTCCCACGGGCTCCCGGATGCCCCAGCTGCTGGGGGCCAGGGCCGCTGTCTGTCCACGAGACGCGGCACCAATGTCCACCCAGCTGACGCGCTCGAGTTCAGACGTCGTGTCCTCTCTCCTCTGTCCTGATGCTAAGCCGGCAGGTCCGCAGGAGTCTGCCTTGTGTCCGAGGCGTCCGTACGTCCCCCACCCGCTGTCCAGCTGTACAGCACAGGGAGG